GCCCAGGCATCCGCGCTCAGGCCAGAAAGGTAATCCGAGTATTTTTATTTCCTCCAAGATACACTGGCTTTGTTGTTCGAGTTTCTCCTCAACAGGACTGGTGCAAATCGGGCTTTCCCTTCCTCCTCCCCTAAAAATTAGGAACCCTTTGTTCATATTAGGACCCCTTCATTCATATTCTGGGATCGCTTCATTCATTTCTTCCCATCTGCTTCTTTTTATAAGGCACAAATCTGTATGCCTTACTATTTTCTTCATACAAATTTTTATTAAATTTGTATATCCCAGGGTGCTTCACAACATAACGTTGCAAGATAAAAACACCAAAAAAATGCAACAAACACAAAATACATAATTATAGTGTTTTTTTCAATTTAAGGATTTTATTGCTTTTAATCTGATCTTGCATTCAGTAGACTATTTTTCCTGTACTTCGTATTTCAGAGGCAGCATAATACTCTTCAGTTTTTGTTATTTATTACATTTGTATACCATCCTGTGGAAGCTGGTGGCGCTGTGGGTTAAACCACAGAGCCTAGGACTTGCCGATCAGAAGGTCGGCAGTTTGAATCCCCGCAACGGGGTGAGCTCCCGTTGATTGGTCCCTGCTCCTGCCAACCTAGCAGTTTGAAAGCACGTCAAAGTCCAAATAGTTAAATAGGTACCACTCCGGCGGGAAGGTAAACGGCGTTTCCGTGCGCTGCTCTGGTTCGCCAGAAGCGGCTTAGTCATGCTGGCCACATGACCCGGAAGCCAATAAAGCGAGATGAGTGCCGCAACCCCAGAGTTGGCCACGACTGGACCTAATGGTCAGGGGTCCCTTTACCTTTACCTTTATACCATCCTATAACCATAGATCTCAGGGTGGGCCACAACATAAAATTACAATATGAAAAGCACAAAATATATAAAAAGAATAAGAGCAAAAACAAACCAATAACCCACCCACCCCCTTCCATAATAGTCAAGGAACGCCTCTCTCCATATGAACCAACCCAGCCCCTAAGGTAATCATTTAAAGGGGCATCGGATGTTGATCAACCCAAGGCCTGGTTGAAGAGGGACGTTTTCGCCTGGAGCCTAGAGATATGCAATGAAGGCGCCAGGCGAACCTCCCTGGGGAGAGCATTCCACAAACTGGGAGCCACTGCAGAAAAGGCCCTTCCTCATGTTGCCACCCTCTGGACGTCTGGGGGAAGAGGGACACTAAGATGGGGCTTGGAAGATGATCTCAGGGTCCAGGCCAGTTTATATGGAGAGATAGATAGATAAGATAAAACTTTATTCGCATTAGCCAATGGCCATAGCCACAGTAAAACATTACAGTATATGCAGAAAAGGAAATTTGATATAAGAGCACAATTTAAAGTCCTGAATCTGCAGTCAGTTAGTGGCCCTTATTCTGATTGCCCCTGCTATGAACCTAGCAACCTTTGCTGTTATCTGCTCATTTTGATCTGATAGAAGAAAGGACATTGTGGCAGTGGTTGGGCGCCCTGGGATGGTTAGTACGAGTGGGGTGATGATCTCGTTCCCCAGGTCTTTGTAGAGAGTGCAAGACAGGAGGACGTGTGCCGCTGTTTCGGTGCTACCATCTCCACAGAGGCAAAGACGTTTCTCAGGTGGAATCTTCTGGAATTGGCCCTCAAGTACCGCAGATGGCAAAACATCCAGTCTTGCAAGCGTAAAAGCACGTCTGTATTTTGGGATGATAAGTTGATGCAGATATGGGGCCAGAGAATCAAAATGGAGAGGTGGAAAATGAACATACCAAGGGCAGAATTTCCTTATAGTGGCCAGGTTGTTCTGATGCTCGATATCTTTTAGACGTTGACCAATTAGACTGTTTGCATTAGTGGGGCCCATAGTGAGTAGTTGTTGTGGGGATAGGCCACAAGAGTGAAGTTTTTGATAGACGGTTTTAAGCCAGGCACTTTTATGGGATAATAAGGGATAATAAACCGGGGGGATTTGAGTTTAGGAGGAGCCAAAAGTTAAGAGAGAGGTGGTCCTGGAGGTATTGCGGCCCTGAGCTGTTTAAGGTTTTTTTAGGTTTTAATAAGAAAAAGAACAAGCCACAATCCAATAACCCAATCCTATACATGTTTAATTGGAGGTAAGGGTCGCTGATTTCCGCTAGTTTCCCAAGGTCTTAGCCTGCCAGGAGAACCAAGAGGGAGCCAGTCTAAGAAATTCCGCAACATGGAATTAGGAGAGAGCCTGTTTGGTGTAGTGGTTAGAAAGTTGGGCCAGGACCTGTGAGGCCTAGGTTCAAATCCCCACTCCGACCCTTAAGCTCAGTGGGTGACCTTGGGCCTGTCACTGCCTCTCACCTTGCCTGCCTTGTAAGGTTCTTGTGAGGATAAAATGGGGTGGGGAGGAAAATTGTACTCCTTGGAAGACAGGTGGGATATAAATTCAGTAATTAAATAACCCAGTATTGTCAGTAGATCAGAGACCATTGGTCCGATGGGGCCTTGGTCCTGAATATTTGAGTTATGATGTCACAGCTGAAGTGCATTTAGGGCTGTTCTGCAAATTGCAAATCTGGGTGTTTGCATAGGACTTTTGTGAGGTGGATCTGGAGCAGCAGGGAGGCCAGTCAGATATTGGTAAGACTCCAGCTCCCATCAGCCCCTACCAGCATGGCCACTGGCCAGGGACGATGGGAGTTGTAGTCCATCAACATTTGGCAGGGGGTCCCACAGTTTCCCCATGCTTGTCTTTGAAATGGTTTCTGAACGCAAAGAGATTTCTTTCCCCCTTAATCACCCAGCATTCCAGGAAAAATGGTTTTTGATTCTTTCACGATGTTGCATTCTATCATCTAATGAATTAAACATCCTCAAGCCGGCTTGGAGAGATTTTGCTCGATGACTGAATGTGGATTCATCACATGGGGGAGACAAAACGTATCTGGTTTGTGTATCTTCCAAAGAACGCAAACAATCGTTGCGGTAATAAAATACACTTTGCTACCCACACAGACATTGATTGAATAATCACAGATGGAATTCATGGAGAGCTTGTTAAATTCAAAAAGATGTTGCGTTCCTACTTTTTCTAGGTTGTAGCAGAAATAAGGCAATGTTCCACATTGCCCCAAATAAATCTGTCACAAGTTTCTGGGACCAAAGCATGGGGTTCCTCTGGAAAACATATCAGAAATTGCCACATTCATTCTCTTACATGTGTGTTTTGTTGTCCATAACGCACTCACACAGGATCATGGGCTTTGTAGTGCTATATAATGAAGAAACACTGAAATAGAACAGCATATCTGTTCATCAGTTTAGCACTGCATCATGGGATGTACAGTGTCTGGTTTGGCCCTTCATGGCACTTGTCTGTGTTACTTAAGTGTCTTTGCTGTTTCCAGAGAGAAAATAAGTCCTGATAACACTGTGGAAAAATAACAACAGAACATAATTTGAGGAGAAACGAACAAAGAGGTTTTGTTATTCTTAGTCCAGGCATAACATAGCAGGGAGACATTCAACCAAACATACAGAGGAAAAACTCCCACAGAACAACACAGCCAATCAGAGCATGCGATACCTCAGCAAAGAACACACCACTCTGCGTGGTTGCTAAGCAACACCTCCACCTGTTCCCCTCTTGGCTAGTTGAGAACAGAATTAACCCTTAAGATGCAAACTGAATGATCCCTGCTGCTGGACTTCCAAAACCTGGTACAGAGAATTTTGCAATTGAACTACAGTCATACCTCTTGTTACATTCGGTTCAGGTTACGTCTTTTCAAGATGTGTCCCGCAGTGACCCGGAAGTACCAGAAAGGGTTACTTCCAGGTTTCACCACTCGCGCATGTGCAGACGCTCAAAATGACGTCACGCGCATACATGGAAGCGGCAAATCATGACCTGCGCACGAGCATGACGTGTGTTGCGTTCTGCTCATGTTGTGAACAGGGCTCTGGAACGGATCCCGTTTGCAACCAGAGGTACCACTGTACTTGCCTTCCCATCAGATGTCAACGAGTTAAACAACTGTATGTCTTTTCTGAAGACAGCCCTGTTTTGGGAAGCTTTATGTCAGGGGTCAGCAAGGTTTACCTCACCTGGGCCAGTTCACTCCAGTGGAGATCCCTTCGTGGACTGGTTTGCGTGCATGATTTCCGGTGTCTGCGTCTGCGCAGACGCATTTTTTTTTTTAAATAATTTTTTATTAAGGTTTTAAACAAAGAAAAAAGAAAAACAACACACACAAAAAACAATACAAAATTTAACAATAACAACACAAAACATAACAATTAAAAACAAACTCTCTTTTCCATTCCCAATTTTAAATTACTTATTTTCTGGACTTCCTCATACCTCCCTCTTTTGTATTCCAATCTACATTACTTGTCCAGCAGTTTCTTTTCCACTTTTTTAAACCCAATCTTTAGTTTAATAAAATATTAAAATATATAACTTCAACTTTTTTAAGCCTAATCCTTGTTCTTAATGTCATCGCATTTTTCGGCATTTGCACATGCACAGACGCGATCTCCGGTGCCGCGGAAGCGAGTCCCCATGCCGCGCACAGCATGGGGGGACTCACTGAGCGGGTGGCTCGGTTCAGGGATGGCTCGTAGGCCAGTTAAACAATCCTTGTGGCCTACTTGTGGCCCATGGGCCTTAAGTTGCCTACCCCTGCTTTTCTTGTTTGACGTGTTTCCCCCCCTCTGTATTTTGTTGGAATTTGCACAGAGTAGCTGGGGCATCCCAGTCAGATGGGTGGGGTATAAGAAATAAATTATTATAATATTATTATTACTGCCACACATTACTTCATGGTGGAATCGTCTCCGCCAAGTGGACTAGGGGACAAGTGGAAGCCTTCTTGACCAAATCTCTCTCTTTCTCTCTCCCTCTCTGTCTCTCTCTCTCTCTCTCTCTCTCTCTCTCTGTGCTTTCATAGAATCATAGAATTTTAGAGTTGGAAGGGACCTTGAGGATCATCTAGTCCAACCCCCTGCAAGGCAGGAATATGCAGCTGCCCCATACAGGGATCGAACCTGCAACCTTGGCATTATCAGCACCACGCTCTAACCAACTGAGCTCCCACAGGAACAATGGTTAGCAACATTCCCATGCAGAGTGCAGAATGCTGGAAATCTACCATGCGAGATTTCCTTCATCAAATCCACTCCCGCAGAAACATGACCCCAAGCATTTGCCTACCATATATAAAAGAAAGCACAAAAGGTTGAAAAGGCTTGCCGTTCTCAATAAGGCAATAAGCATATCTGCCTTTACAGTTGTCCAGCTGGCAGCTATGAACCCGATACAGTGAGACATAGCCCTTGTGGGCTGCCCAAAGTCCTTTCTCTTTTTTTTTTGTCTTGGGACTGTGGGAGAATGTGCAAATCGGGGGGGGGGTGGGACATGGGGCTTAGAGACCAAAGATGCGCTTGTTTCTGCCACTTTGGGTTCCACGGCTTCTAGCATCTCTATTTCATTGTGATATTTGGCATTCCACAAATGCTTTGGGTGGGAACCTAAGAAAACAGCCTTCCGCTCTTTAAACCAGCAGAGAGAAGGGACACAATGCTGGTCCACAGAGCCAGAGGAGAAGGAAAAGAAGCAGAGAGGCCCGCTCACATCCTGTGATGGCCTGGGATTCGGACTCGGATGCTGAACCTGAGGGATCCCAGCGTGCACAGGATTCCCCGCCTCCAGAACCAGCTGAGCCGGGGCTGGGGCCTGAGCCTGAAGGGTCCTCACCTGTGCTGGATCCTCAGGTGCAAGCACAAGCTGAGTCTGCTCTGGCTCCTGAGGTGATGGAGGACCCATTGCCTGCAGGTGTTCCACTCTCAGCCCCGTCAGGGGAAGAGGAGGTTGCCTCTAGGTCCAGTAGCCTCTCCTGAGCTGCAGAGGCTCAGGGCAGAGAGGCGGAGGGAACTAAGTTCCCGCAGGAGGAGTGCTCCAGGCCAGGAGAGGCGAGTCACCAAAGGATCAGGGCCGCCCTATGCCTTGGGGCAGTTAAAAGCCAGCCAGCCCCAGTCCCAAGTTGTGGGAGCAACATTGTTGGTTGCTAGTTCCTGCCTGAACCACCCTGGCTCCCTGCTTGCAAGCCTGTTCCTGACTTCACCCGACTCCCTGCCCTGCACCCAGCTTCAACTACTACGGACTGCCTCCATCTTGTACCTTTGACCACGGACCGGACCTGGACCTCGTCTTTCGGGTAACCCCCGAGACCAGCACACATTCCAATGCAAAGGGATACAATACAACATTGCCAGATATTTGGGACTGCAACTCCCATCAGCCCTGGTCAGAGATGATGGGTGTTGTAGTCCCAAAAAGAAATCTGAAAGGCACCAGGGTGAAGAAGGCTGAAATGTAACATGAGAGCTGGTGTGGTGTAATGGTTAGAGTGTTGGACTAAGACTTGGGAGACAAGGGTTCAAATCCCCACTTGGACATGAAGGTCACTGAGTGACATTGGGTCACTCACTGCCTCTCAGCCTAACCTACCTAGAATCATAGAATCATAGAGTTGGAAGAGACCACAAGGGCCATTGAGTCCAGCCCCCTGCCAAGCAGGAAACACCATCAGAGCACTCCTGACATATGGTTGTCAAGCCTCTGCTTAAAGACCTCCAAAGAAGGAGACTCCAACAACCTCACAGGGTTGTTGTGAGGAGAGGGAGAACCATGGACAGCATCTTGAGCTCCTTGGAGGTGGCATATAAATGCAGTCCATGAATAATGTTCGGACATATTTGCAGGGCAAGCTCCCTTGGCCAATAAAGCAAGATGAGCACCGCAACCCCAGAGTCAGCCATGACTGCACCTAATGGTCAGGGGTCCCTTTATCTTTACCTTTATGTATTGCTTAAAAGCGGACAGTTGCAAGGGATGTAGCTGGGCCACTGGCCTGGGTCACAAACGGGTCACAAAAGTCAACGCAAAGACAGGGAGAGCACCCAGGAAAGTGAAACGAATTGGCAATGTCCTTGGCCTTCCTTATTAGGGCTGCTCTGCCTGTGCCCTCCTTCGCAGGAAGGGGGTCAGGGTGCCAGTTTATTGGGGTTGTGTAATGATGAAATAAATACCCACCCTGAGTTTACTGAGAAGCGTTGGCTGTGGCCGCAAGAGTTGCTGCAGCACTTTCTGTTCCTCCCAGGATCCAGAGATCTGCCAGGCGCACACCAGCAGTTATGTAATAGGAAGCCCCTCTTTCCGCCCAGTTTCCACATTAAGGCATTATATAATGAACACATTGTTTTGGAAGTGACCAACGACCAAGCCACAGGAGGATGCAACTCTGACAGGAGAATTTATGTCTCTCTCTCTTTCCTCTTTGCTCCTTTTGGGCTTCATTGCCAATAACACACACTTGCTCCTTCACCTTTCACCCAGTCCGTTGAAACAGCCGCTCGCTCCTTTTGCACCCGGAACGGTATCACTGCTAAACCTGCTTACGGAAACCCTAGTGCAAGAATGTCCGAACCATGTTCGCCCAGGAGGCCACTGTCATAGGTGTCAAAAGCAGGCAGAGCAAGAAATGTAAAAATTTGCCTTTGACTACTTGACTGGTTTCTTTTTTCCTTTCTTTCTCTCTTTGCCCAAATCATTTTCATTGGTTTTCCAAATTTTAACAGGTCAACCACAAATTAAAGCAGATTTAATGCAATCTTTTCCAAAAATTGGCTTCCCGCCCTATGCCCTCCATGTGTCCATAGTTTCCTCTCGTTGCTGCATTCTTTTCCCAGCTACCTTGGAAGTCAAACGAAATCCATTCCAGAAGTTCGTTCGACTTCCAAAATGCTCGAAAACCAAGGCACGGCTTCCGATTGGCTGCAGGAAGCTCCTGCAGCCAATCAGAAGCCAGAGAAGCTCCATCGGATGTTTGGGTTCCAAAAGAACGTTTGCAAACCGGAACAATCACTTCTGGGTTTGCGGCATTCAGGAGCCAAAACGTCTGAGTTCCAGGGCGTTCAAGATCCAAGGTACGACTGTATTTCTAATTCACATTCCATTCCTTGCAATTAACCTCGCATTACAATAATTCTTTGTTGCTTTCCATGTATTATCCTTAACCACCAGCTATCCACTTGCCAATTCCTACACGTACAATATTTAAACATTTCCAAAATCTACAAGGGAGGTTGCTACTTGGCTAGTTTCTACACACTTTGAGACACCCCCTCTCTGCCCTGCATCCAGGATCAGAGTTCAAGGACTCAGCTAAAACACTCAATGAGGGTGCAATGCAGGGGCTGGGGTTCATCGCAGGGAGCGGATGTGGCCTGAAGAGAGTTTGAATAGCCAGAACGAGAGCTTGGATTCAGCTGCCCATCCTGGCATTAGGTCCTAGTGCAGTGTTTCTCAAACTTGGGCCTCCAGCTGTTTTTGGACTACAATTCCCATCTTCCCTAGCTAGCAGGACCAGTGTTCAGGGATGATGGGAACTGTAGTCTGCAAACAGCTGGAGATCCAGTTTTGGGAAATACTGTCCTAGTGCAACATTCTAACCACTACACCATTATTATTTTGTGTGTTTGTGTGCTTAATGCTAGCTGCCTTGTTGTTACTGAAATATATATTAAATAAACAAATATTAAAATTGCTTTTTTATTATTATTATTACAAATCACAAACCTGATTTCCAGTTCATCAGAAGCACCTCCCTCCTTGGCTCAAAAGATTTTAAGCTTGATTACACTCAACGATTATTTGTCTGAACATTGCAATCCTAATCGTTACCGTCATCTGAAAGATGCAAGTGTTGGCTGATGTGCACAGAGAGATCTGGCTTTATGTTGACGAGACTGTTTTGGAACTCCAGAGTTCTGCTTCAAGTGGGTGATGCACATGGTGTTTGGCCCATCTTTGTGGAAGGTAAATGTTGTGTGTCATCTCTCCTGACTTCAGTTTTTAGATCGAGATAGAAAAGACCCTGATGTTGGGAAAGATTGAGGGCAAAAGGAGAAGGGGACAACAGAGGACGAGATGGTTGGACAGTGTTCTCGAAGCTAGGAACATGAGTTTGACCAAACTGCAGGAGGCAGTGGAAGACAGGAGTGCCTGGCGTGCTCTGGTCCAGGGGGTCACGAAGAGTCGGACACGACTAAACGACTAAACAAAAACAGATTAGATAGCTAGATAAATAGACAGATAGATTGATAGATGATAGAGACGATGATAGATAGATGATAGATAGATAGATAGATAGATAGATAGATGATAGATAGATAGATAGATAGATAGATAGATAGATAGATAGATAGATAGATGATAGATAGATGATAGAGATAGAGATATAAGAGAGAGAGAGAGAGAGAGAGAGAGAGATTTTTAAAAGGTGTAAAAAGAAATGCAGAAAGTATGCTTTCCAAGAAAAGAGGGTGAATAAAGTTCAGTTGACTTATTTTTAGACCTGTTGGCCAGTTTTAAGATGTGCGTCACTACTGCTGACATTAAAAAAATGTGCCCAGTCAGCTCAGAGAATCATAGAGTTGTAAAGTTGGAAGAGACCCAAAGACTCATCTAGTCCAATCTCCTGCAATGCAGGAATCACAGCTAAAGCATCCCAAATGACCGTCCAACCTCTGTCTAAATACCTCCACCACCTTCTGAAACAAGCCATTCCACTGTCAAATAGCTCTTTCTGGCAGAAAGTTATTCCTAATGTTAAGCTGGAATCTCCATTTTTTATTTTGTAATTTGTAATCCATTGGTTGGGGACCTACCCTCCAGAGCAGCAGAAAACAAGCTTACTGGTGCTCTGCCACTGTCTGAGTCCTGGTTCCCCTCCTTGAATCTGCATGGAGGTTTCAAATATAAACCTTCAAATCAATTTATTAAGCAGCTGCAGCTGATTCAGAGCCGAAGAGCAGATGCATCTATTAACAAGTCTTTCCCCCAAGAATTTACTGATGCATATTTTCAGCGGTGACATATCAGCACGGAATATGATAGGAGTTGCAGAATTCAGCATTCTTAAAATTGCACGTTTATAGTTGTTGTTGTTGTAGTAGTAGTCGTTGTTGTTTTAAAGAAAGTAAGTTTCCTAGATCTCATGTCTCTGATGAGTTCAATTCAGAGCGAGGTGCGCTTAAGCTG